ACTGGTAATCAGTGTACCAACCTTTGGACTGTCTTTAAACTACAGAATTTTGGAAACTCTGAGTTCTCAGTTGAGTCATATCTGTCCAATTTCCTCTCACAATAATAGAGTCTAGCCTGTTTTTACAGTGCTTTATTATGACTAACTGTATTTGCTCTCTTTCATCCCTTTAACATGAAAATTGACTCAGAGCTCATCTTCTCAACTCTTTCTTTCCAAGACTGAGCCCCTTGTGGAGCTAATTTACAATGAACATAGAACATATTTACAGTGCTTTTATGTTTGTTTTGTATTTCTGCTTCTTTTTCTATGTCTGCTTCTGCCTCCTTGAACCCCAGTCGGCCTCTGCAGATGACCGCTCACACTGGGCCTCAATCTGCTGGAGGTTTCTTCCCATTTAAAGGGAGTTTTCCTCTCCACACTCGCTGCATGCATGCGCGATAAGATCAATGAGTCGATGCAATCCGCTGGATTTCCTTAGATAGAAAATTTTGAACTGATCTGACTGTATGATCTGGTTGAATTGTCTCTGTAAAGTGCCTTAAGATGAAGTGTTGAGAATTGGCACTATATAAATAAACTGAATTGGAATTTGATCTTTCTTATTTCTTGCATATCTCCCATACATGCTAGGGTGTAACTTACAGTTTAGAACATCCCTCTGGAGTTCATTCTTCTGATGGCAGGGGCATGTTCATTGACACAGATATTTACTTTTGAGAGATGAAGTAAGGAATAAATAAAAGAGACTGGCCTTTAATGGTATTTTACTACCAAATCTCTTTTTAGAAATACCCTTACTGTTTACTACTACTTTATATTAGTCTAAACACAGTCCCAATGGATACAGGTTTTTGGTTCAACTGTAGAGATTTTATCCAAAACTACACTGCAAAAACAATCCAGAAATAAGTAAAAAATTTCTTAAATTAAGTATATTTAGCCTTAATTTGAGCAGGTAAATAAGATGATTTGCCAATGGAATGAGTATTTTCACCCTTAAAATAAGATAGTTAGATAATATTTACATGAAATAAGAAGATAAAATTGTTTTTTCTTATTTTAAAAGGAAATTGTCTTGTTCCATTGGCAAAGTGTCTTACTTACCTCCTCAAATCAAGGAAAAACGCACTTATTTTAAGAAAAAATAACTTATTGAGATTTCTTTTTTTTGCAGTGTACTCATCAGTTGCAGCAGCTGGTGCAGCTCTAGTTAGACTCTGAGAAACATATTGACCTTTTCTAAAAGTGATGATAAGGGAGTACATTTTATTTTCTGAAGCACATACCTTCAAAGACTGATATCCATAGCTCAGCCTCTCCCTCCCCACGAGTCTTTGGAGTAGTGGGGAGAAAGATGTGGCTCAACGGTGGCTGACTGGTTGGCTGGTCAGGCTACACTGGAATGTGGGCTCTTTTGTTTGTCTGGGAGAGGAGTGGGTCAGGGGGAGAATGCCATTGATGATTGCGGGGAGGAAGAATGAACCTCCAGGAAGTGTTCTCGCTGTCCGCTACTCCCCCCCAGGCCCCCACTTGCGTTCTGTCTGTCTCTCTCCATCTTTTTTTTCCCACTGTGTGAGAACCTTCACCGTTCTGAGCCTCTCTCCGCTGAGGCCACGGTCTCTAGGCACAACCACTGCTTTGTCTTTGCCCTGTGAACACACACACCCCTCCTCTGCTGGGTGCCTGCATTTGCCAGGGTATGAGAAACCCGGGGCCAAGGCTCCTATTCTTATCCACATCACTGCCCCTGGAAGGATGTGAGTGTGTGTCTCTGTGAATTGGTGCTGAATGATAAATTGTGTTTCTACATGCCTTACACTTTTCATTTATCAAGATCAACTTATTTTCATGTCTTCCTAAAAAATGTGTATTTTATGTTTGTCTGCTGAAAACAGCCAACCTGAAGATGGACTATGTTGCTAAGTGGATAAGAATCTATCTAGTGGCCCCTTCCAAGCAGTGGCTGCCACCTCCCTTCACATTGCTCACTCCCTTCTGTGTTAGAAGGCTGCAAGGAGCTGCAAATGGCTCTTTCAAAGCGCACAACAGCTGGAACACGGGGCAAAGGTGACTGAAGCAGTTGGGGGAGCACAAGAAGAGCCAGAGGGGGAGGAAAGGAGGCAGAGGGGCCACGAGATGAGCAGCTGCAACTTTGAGCCCCTGTTTCTTCACATTGTCACCACATATATTGCCTAAATGGTTACAGAGAAAACTCAGGATGACGTTTGACTCATCTCTACTTGGTCCTAGCTAAAACTTCATAATTGAATTGGATTTCTAAAAGTTCACAAAGGGCCACTGACCTGCTGTGAAACAAGAAGAGATTTATACTTCTTTGATCGGTTCAGATACCACAGAGATCACTTCTCTGAGGCAGAAAATAGTTTCTTTCTTCCAAAAGCAGATGAAAAACCACATGCAACATTTTTGAGCAGCTTGCTAAATTAATCAAATTTAAACCCTTAATCCTGGATACTTCTGAGCAAGGGAATGAGCAAACAAGGTGGAATTCTCTACATAAATACAAAACTAAAGGCTCAATCTAACCTTTTATGGTTATTTTATAACTGTGAACAAATGAGCAACACCCATAAAATAATATGAGTAGAGCCTGTTAATGCATCAGACTTGATTTACTGGGAATAGGCAGGAAGTGCTTGGGAACAGTTAAGAAACATAATGAATATGCATCTAAACAACTCAAACTGTTAAACTTCTAATAGAGAGCTTATTTATTTGCATATATATATATATCTATATATATATAGATATATATATAGATATATATATATAGATATATATATATAGTAAATAACCTCACTATTCAAAGATGATAAGACATTATAAAACCCTACAAAAGTCAGTTTTCACATTTTGCTGCTTTAAAACCACAAACCTCAATGTATTTGCAATCTTATACATCGGTAAACCTATAGAAAGTTGTGCTGAAGAAGAAAAGTTTTTTTTTTTTTACAAATATTAATCTGAAAACTGTAGCTTCTAAATACATTCCACCCTAGTCAGAAACCTCAACACTGCGTCAAGGGATTTAAAAAAAAAAAAAAATCCCTATTTTCTTCTGCTCAAAGGAGCATCCCTTACAGGATGACGCTGTCACTACCGTGCTTCGAAGTGGTGATGGTGTTTGTTGTCCATGATGTGGGTTCTTATTTCTCCATCACATACCGTGTTTGTTAAGTTGATATTATTGAACCAAAGTATCTTCTTCCACGTGTTTTGGTGTGTTTCCATTGTTAAAAGTTTGTGTAAGATAATGCCTTAGTAGGTTATCAACAGAAGCATCCTCTTTCAAAATTGACATTATGAATTAGAATTTGATCTGCTTCTCCTGTTTAAACAAATGTATTCAAACAAAACTCTTAGGCAGCCACATTTATACTTAGAAAAATCTCAGACTGGTGGACTTTATTTACTAATTACTTTTTTAGGTGTATTAGAGTAAAGCAGGCTGATTTAAAATCTGTTCAAGTCCATATTCTTATCTTCAGCTACCACAGAATACATGTAAGATTAAACAATACTACTTATACTTCAGTGATAGTACCAAGGTGTTACTTTGTTTTTTCTCTTATACTATATCCATTGGTTGTGCTGTTCTTTTTACATCTCTTTGCAGGTGATGAAGAAGACTGAAGATTTTTTATCATTATCTCCCTTTTATCCCCTCTTTCTTTAATCTTTTCTCCCTTTTTTCAGTTTTTCCTTTCCTGTTCTACTTACATTGCAGTGTCCATATAATATGTACTACGCCCCGCATGATTTATAATAAAGTTATTTCTATGTATAAATCAAGCAGAACGCTATGGCGATAGCCGTACTGCTCCACTTGTGAAAGTAAATCTGTTGGGCTCTTTTTTGGAATCAAGACAATTATTCTTATTGCCACATTGCCAGACACTGTTAAAAAAAAAGAAATGAGTTAAAGTCTGTAATGTAATGTGGACGGATACAAATTTGTTTAAAGCAGATATTGTCATTTGTATGGAAGAGCATTAGGGCCACTGAAAAAATAAAAAAAGTTAAGTGATTTTTAAATTTTACTTCATTTTAATATGGGAAAAAAGTCAGACTTCTGACTTTAATATCAGAATTCTGACTTTAGTCTCAGAATTCTGACTTTTTTCTCAGAAATCTGACTTTAATCTCAGAATCCTCTTCCATACAATTGCTTCAGGTTCACTACACAAAATATACGGAAGAGGATTAGGGCCCCTGAAGAAATAAAAAAACTTAACTGATTTTTAATTATTATTACAGTTTAATATGGGAAAAAAGTCAGAATTCTGACTTTAATCTCAGAATTCTGACCTTTTCTCAAAATTCTTACTTTAATCTTAGAATTCTGACTTTTTTCTCTGAATTCTGACTGAATTCTGAAAGCTAACAAACTTAGTTTTAATGATCCCTCGGGCACGTAAAAAGTTTCCTAATTTCATCATTTTTAAACAATGTGTCACTAGCCCTCTCAAACAATTTACATCTTTGTCAGTGACGCTGAGTTCTCCCACACCTCTTCCTTCATGGTGCCCATCTACATTAAGGTTCACGCTTCTGAGATTAAAGTCAGAATTCTGAGAAAAAGTCAGAATTGTGGGGGAAAAAAGTCAAAATTCTGAGATTAAAGTCAGAATTCTGAGAAAAAGTCAGAATTCAGAGATAAATTCAGAATTCTGAGATTCAAATCAGAATTCTGATTTTTTTTTCTAATATTATACAGAAATAAAATTTAAAAATCAGTTAACCTTTTCTATTTTTTCAGTGGCCCTAATCCTCTTCCGTACAAAGAGGATTTATGACCATGAAAGCCAGCACTGTTTGTGGGGACAGGTGTTTCAAAAAGACAGCAAATGTACCCTCCCTCCCCTCCTCCAGTGTAGCCCTCTGGCTGCTACTTGCTGCCGCTGTGTGAAATCCCGGAGTAGTACAGAACTTATTGTTGTGGAGCACTATCGCGAGACTTGTGCTATTATCAACCTGCTCTGACACACACACACACACATACACACACACAGGCATACAGCAGCGCTGTGAGTGCAGCCTGCCTGCCTTCCCAGGGTCGGGACTGGAAGCCTCAAGAAACGGCAAGAAGAAGCAAACATCTGGCCGCACATCATGAGAGCAGCCCGGAGCTTATAGCAGGGGAGGAAAAGGACGTCGGCAGGAGTGGAGATACATGTAAGCAAAAGGGTGATGTTGTTTTTGTGCTTTTTAAAACGGAGAAAGCGAAAGTTAAAAAAAAAAAAAAAAAAAAAGCGTCCCCCCCTCCTCCTCCCCTCAGCGCAGTTTCTGATTGTGAGTTTAAAAGGCTCCCAGCATGGACACGCCGCTCTGTTTTTCTTCTTTATTAAAACAAAAGTGAGTAAGTCGAAAATCGTCACAAAACTTAAACTTCTTTTTTTTGGTGCATAGTTTATTTATTATTTTTAATTATTCTCTAAACAAGTGCTCCCAGTTCAGCGCGTGCTTAATGGGTGGCCTTTAAAGCGGTGCTTCGTGATATTGAAAAGTTTAAAATACAGTTACGGCTCTAAATTCATGAATATATATTTATTTTTATTATTTTGGGGTCTTTTTTTGAGCGCGTTAACATATGGCATAAAGCGGAGCACAGCTGGAGGTAGCGTTTCCATTGCGGTGATGTCAGAGCAGCTGACTCCACAGCTTGCAGTGTAATTAGCAGGCAGAGCAGCAGTTTACTCACTCTGCACAGCTCTTATTTTTTCACCTCAGCCTCCTGGACGAGCTTCTTCACTTTGTTGGGGTTTTTTTCTTTCCTAATCGGAGAAAAACCGTTGTTTTAAAATCCGGGATTACCAATCTGGGAATAATTCTTCGGGAATTTTTGTTTGTTTTTTTTACTTTGCGATGCAAAGGTTGGTGAGCGCAAAAATAATCTGAACCATAATGCTTTCAAGTTAGACGAAGTTAATAGTGTTGAATGTTAGATTCGTTGCAGCTTTGAGTTATGAGTTCACATGCAGAATAGAAATAATGATTAAATAAAAGTTTATATCTAAAAGAAAAGTGCAAAAAAAATAAATAAATCTATGTTTCATTTGGATGTAAAAGAGCGCATACGTATGGGTTTTATATTTCTATTAAATACAGGCAACATGTCTCTTCACCCAGGATGTCGTTTTGCCTGGGGGCGGCAGAGCCACTTTTTGGGTTTAAGGAAACATAGATTGAAACATGATGACGCCTCAAATTTGGACTTTATTAACTATAAAATGAGCACATGTTCTTGAAAAGAACATATGTTATTGATCTTATATTTTTTTGCAGTTAAATATATTTGATCTAATTAAGAACAACAGTAATTATTATGACTCAAAACAGAGTTATCTTAATACGGGTATGTCATGCGCCACACACCCAGGCAATAATCCAGTCGTTCCAGCCTTTTTATTAACATCCTATTTAGATCCTGTCAAAATGTATCTTTCTTTCTTGATTTAATATAATAACAAACATTCAGGGCACCAGATCATATTGTGCTCAGGACCTTCTTTGATGGTGTGGCTCTGTTTAAATCTTAATCTAGTGCATTAATTTAACACTATTGGCAAACACCTCTTTTTATTTGTTTACCACATTGAAAACATCCAAAACTTCAAAAACGATTTTAAGAATGCAACATTTTTTTTCCTCACAGTTTACAAATTAAACTTTATTTAATTACCTTAAAATATTTTTGCACCAAGTTTGACATAACCCTATTATTATTATTATTATTATTATTATAGTACTGTTTACATTTACCTCAAGTTAGGGTGGTTCTCTCTAAAGTATTCTTGAATGGATATTTACATTTTTAAAACTTTTGAAAAATCTGAAAAATCGTTATTTGTTTAAAAGCATCTCTGGCTGTTTAATCGCCCAGTTATTGTTTGATTAGTGTTATGATTTTAAGCAGTTGATTATCAAAGACAGTCCTCCCAAAACACCAACGTGACTAAAAATGTAATTTAGCAATCACAATTTCTTCAAGTTCTTGTGCTGACCTCCAATGGAATGACACCCTGAGTGGTGAGCCATATTGCCCATATCATAAACTATCAAATGATGTGAGCTTATATAAATGTTTAAAACTCATTCATTATCATGGTTTCTGGCGGTGGTGCTCATTTTCTCTTTGCTCTTTAGTTGTGACATGTTTCCCTGCACTGTGCCCTCTATGGGCGCCTCGCTTGGTTTATCCACTATCCTGTTTTTCCTGTTTTTCCATCAGGTTATGAAGGAAGAATGGAGTTCCCAGACCATAGCCGCCAGTTGCTGCAATGTCTGAGTCAGCAGCGTCACCAAGGCTTCCTCTGTGACTGCACTGTTCTCGTCGGGGAGGCTCGGTTCAAAGCCCACAGAGCTGTGCTGGCCTCCTGCAGCATGTATTTCCACCTCTTCTACAGGGACCAGCTGGACAAAAGGGACGTTGTGCATCTCAACAGTGACATTGTGACGGCCCAGGCTTTCAGTCTGCTCCTTGAATTTATGTATGAGGGGAAGCTGGAGTTCAGTGCTCTGCCTGTGGAGGATGTTCTGGCTGCTGCCAGCTACCTCCACATGTACGATATAGTAAAAGTCTGCAAAGGCAAACTTAAAGATAAAGAACTTTCCTCCCTGGATGAGAAGTTAGGGGAGGGTTTGGGACTTGGCTGCCTGGACAGGGAGAATTCCATAGATGGTGAGCTGCACTGTAAGCAGCTAATTCAGCGCCACTCTCACGGGCTTCTCAGGGCCCCCCCTGTGGAAGACTTTGACACAGACAACAGTGAAGTCAAGCTGGCTGTCACAGATTGTGAAAGGTCCATGCAGAGCAGGCAGAAGGCGAACGGTCACTCCGGCAGGTCCCCGGACCTTGTAGGTGTCAATTATATGTCAGCAGAGGCCGAGACCTGCATCCAAACAGCTGGAAAAACAAAAGCTGATGTCAGTAGCTCCACCGTATTGCTGTCCCAGAGGTCCCGGGCTTCAGATGACATGGACTGTGCGCTGGATTTGTCTTTCAAGCCTCTGTCTAGCAGAGATCTCTTACACCCCTCCTACGTCTCGGGACAGCTGGCCCTCGACAGCCAGCAGCAGGGCACTGAGCCACTTGTTAAAGACGAACACGACTTGCTGTCAGAGCAGGAGGACAGTGAGCCGATGAGCCCTGAGAGCCAGCGCTTTGGGAATAGTGCCAGGAGCTCAGTGGTGACAGGGTTCGCTGCCCTCTTCCCAGGCAACAACGGCGCTACAGCCGCCCTGCTCTCCCAGGAGGAGGACCTGATGGACGAGGAGGGGGAGGCCTGCAGGAGGAGGGAGGGCGTTCCAGGCAGGGAGCCGGACAGCAGGGGCAGGCTACTGGGGGACAGCGAGGAAGAGGAGGAGGATGACCTGGCCTCCTCCGACATATCCACCTCCAGCGGGGTGCTTCTGCCTCCGGGCCAACAGGTGTGTGTGTGTCCCCTCTGCAGCAAAGTCTTCCCCAGCCCCCACGTGCTGCAGCTGCACCTCAGCTCGCACTTTCGCGAGAAGGACGGTGCCCGCTCCAAGCTTTCCCCGGACGGCTCCGTCCCAACATGCATGCAGTGCAACAAGACCTTCTCGTGCATGTATACCCTTAAGCGCCACGAGCGTACTCACTCCGGGGAGAAGCCTTTCACCTGTGCCCAGTGCGGCAAGAGCTTCCAGTACTCCCACAACCTGAGTCGCCATGCTGTGGTTCATACCCGTGAGAAGCCTCATGCCTGTAAGTGGTGTGAGCGGCGTTTCACCCAGTCTGGAGACCTTTACCGCCACATCAGGAAGTTTCACTGTGGCCTTGTTAAAACTCTTGCCATTGGATAAAACACCTCTCACCAGTGCCGTAAAAGACAGAATGTCCTTTCACACACTGAATTCTACTGCTGAAGCGTTTTTGCTGTTCGTATAAACAAATTGGCAGTTTGTTAAAGACAAATCTTGGGGCATATCTTACGTTTCTAATGATGTAGCAACTTTCAAACTGGAGCTGTATCCTGTGCTGGACTGTGTCAGAGGCTGCTGAGATTATTGGATCTGTGTCACAGAGAGGTCAACCAATCAGTTGATGCACTTGATAGTTTCCGTCTTTATTGTTTTGTCTGTTTAGTTTAGTTGATGAGCGTTTGTGATGAGAGGTTCAAATCCTTTCGGCAACGCATCATGCTTAGACAAAATCTTGAGGGAGAAAGAATGAGGTTTGTTTGTGCACATGGGAGATCAGAACCGTCCGTGAGAAGCAATATACAATTTCTTTTTAAATGACTACATCATTTAATTATTATTTATTCTGTTTTTTTTTTTTAGCCCTTAAACTATCATGAAGCAGAAACACAAATGAAGCTTAACTACTGGAAGTATGGATTTTCGCCATTTAAGTTTTTATGTTGTATGAGAAGAAGCAAGCAGACTGTCACATGTTTTTCTTTTTCCTTTTGGATGTATTCAGTTTCCAGCCTTTTAGTTTTGAACACATCTTTTTGGATTCGCCTTAAATGTTCTGCTTTATAGACAGAACAGTGATAACGATTAGCTGAGATGCACCAATCAGGCTTTTCTTGATCAATTCTGATTCTGTTTCACTTCAGCGGCTGCTTATACGTACTCTGTAGTTTTGTCATTTTTAAGACCAGAATATATTAAAGTAAAACATAAGCTGCAGATTCACTGACAAAGATAGTAGTCTAACAAAAAATAATATTTGAAGAATATGCATATATAAAAAGCATCAAAGAATGTAGCTTTAATCTTTTTCTGTATTGTTTTCTCCAATTCAAAAGGAAAAAAGTGCATTAAGGGAAAATTTGTTTAAAATATTTTTGATCCCCAAAAACAAACTGGTTTAAACCTGTATTAAACAGGAAATAAATAAGACTTTTTATTATTGGATCTGCTGATCCCCAGCCAGAACAGACTGCTTGTTGGAACATTTTAAATCAGTAAATGATTGATTAGTTCATCCATAATAATATCAAACAGCAAATATAAAGCATCCAGCATTTACATTTCATTGAAGAAGTTTGTATTGTCAAAAGAGTTCAGATATTAGTAGGATTAACTGAATAACCTAGCTATGCTGCTGCCTAACAGCTACACTCTTGTTTCTTTTACAGGAACATTACAGACAGTAAATTGTCTGCTTGCCTTTTTCTTATTTTGATGCGTTTAATAAATGGCTTTAAAGCCAGATGTTATATTTTCCCTATTGTTATACCTGCTTTTGTTGACTGAAAATTGGCTGATTCTGATCTTTGTCAGTGCATCTGACACAAATTTAAATCAGATCCAAAATATAATCTAATCCATTAAAGATAACCTTATTGGAGAATCTCCGAATTTTGCTCAAATTAATTCCATTTAGGGTTAGTCTGGCTTGTCTTTGTATGCAGAATCATGACAGAATAAATTGTAGTAGTTCTTCGTTTATGTCCATCTAATACGAGGAAAAGAAACAGATTATCTTCCATGTACAACCTGCTGATTACAGAACCGATCATGAGAAATTGCCTGATTCTGATCTCTGACTGATTCACTGATCAATGCATCTCTAGAGAGTTATTAAAAACTAACATCTATAACACTGATGCCTGAGGAAATTCTTAATGCTTGACCTAGAGTACTTACTAGAATAACACAAGTTGCTATGCTTTTATTTTGTAAACTCTTGAAGCCTCGGGGAAAAACATGGATTACTTTCAACATACCAGAAGCGTTACCAGTTACCAAAAAAAAAAAGCAATACGTAATAAAATAACTAAATCCAGTTTGTGTTATCAAGACGTTTGGATCAGAGGCAATCAGTGGTTTTTCAATGAAGTTAGTTATTGGTATGACGCAAAAGGTACCCTGATGGCGCAGAGTCGGGATAAGAAGGCATCAAACTTGTGCCATTCAGCTGCTTCTAAGGACTTTTCTCCTTGTTTTGCACCGCTGTATCTGTGTAATTACTACTGATGAAACCTATGCTCCTTTTTCAGACAGGAAATTGTTCTGTTTGTTTGTGCATAGGTGCTGTTATTGATTCTTAACTGGGGGGGTATCACTAAACGTTCATAATGTTCATCTAATCTGTCCTGAGAAGACTTGATCAGAACTTATTTATTAGTCGGACTTGGTTCAGGGTTTACCTGTAGGTATTTATGTTTTTTTTTTTTGCCTAGTGATCTTGGTACACATTAACTGGTGTTGGGTCTGTCAGTTTGTTTTTATTTACACTGTTTAAATCAACTTACTGTAAATGTATTTTTTAATATATATTATTTGGAAAATCTGTCCAGTTTTCAAGATTTCTCATATGGAACACAGATAAGCACTTGTTTTTAGCATGCATATGATTTCAACGCTATTGTCTAGGCTGCTATTTCTTACTATTTGTTTATTTAATGTAAATATATATTATATTTATCAGATTGTTTTTGTTTTTCCCATGTTACAAAATGTGTGAGTGGACAGGACTTTTTCAGTTTTCTTTCCTTTTCCTGGTTAGGGAGTCTGTTAACCTTTCTTCTAGTTACAAGTCATTTAAAAAGCGCTCCGACTTCTGCTCTGACAGGTAAAACGGTTGTTCACAAGCTCAGCCGCACCGATGTGATCCTGGCTACCTATAGAAACCAGACAAAACAGGCATTGTCCCCCCACCCCACCTCCTTCACTTTTTCTAATTCCAGGTAGTTCTCAAGGGATCATTGTGTATCTCTACTCTCCAAAGCTATGGGGAGAAAAGGCACTTCAAGCCTCTTTTTGCACTTTTTTTTCTGGGTTGAATAGAGCCAGTGGAATGTGAGAAATGTATTTTAAAAAGGCAGAAAGTAAACAGGTGCATTGTTTGGAGGCTTCAAAGCATGTGGTGGAAAAATATCTATTGTTCCCTTATTGGAAAAAATAATAAAAAATTGAGATATTTCCTGGTTTGTAGGAAATGAAATGAATTCTGGTATGAGTTCTCCGAGACAACTACTGACATTTTTACTTAAAAATGAGAAATGAGGAGGATTTTTTCAGGTATTGCTGGTGTCTATTAATTTCTCCCTGGTGTAAAATCCAGCAGTGATGCCTGAATGAGAAAAAAAAAGTATCCCTTTTAAACAATCACTCCAGAAATCATCAGTTTTGCTAAGTGCTGGTAAAGATCATTTTACAAAGGAATGTAGATATATCTTCCTTTTTCAAGAAGGATTTCTTTTTTGGTCTTCTAATGTACAGCGGTAAAATAACTAACATGTAAAACAATGGAAACAAATCTTTGTTTTGTTTAATGTTTTTATTTATAACCTCCAGGATGATCACCAAATGTGCCTTTTAGACACACAAATAGGTGCTGCATCTGGAGAAAAGGTTTTTAATTTAGATCCTTTTTTTTTGCCTCATATTTAACAGTTTTATCTAATTTCTGGGCATAAAAAAATGTTTTTTTGTAATGTATTGAGAGAGATTGAACTGAGGGGGTTGGAATTTCTGTGAATAAATTAGCAAGTCGTGTTAAACTGAAGTCAAACACCTTTGTGTTGATTTCTTTTTCAAGCCAATTTTTACGGAAATGAATCTGTTATTATTTGTATTTTGATTTCACTGTTGAATGTGAATGTTTTCGGGGTTCTTGTCCTCTTGGAACCGGGCTGTATTTGCCCATCATGCTGTATGATCTTTCAAATCAACAAACAAATCACTGGAATTGTTTCCTCTGCAGGTTACAACTGTGAATGATCATGAATAATATTTATTTCATATGCTTCCTGTGCAACATTTGATTCTTGGTTTTATTTGATTTATATGTGTAAAATCAACACTTCTACATGTTGAACACAAACATTTGTAATAGACTTTTTAGAAGTGCCATTAGAACCTAATATAATTTTTTAAAATAAAAGTATATTTTCTAGAAAGCAGTTGCTTCAGTGTTAGCATTGTAGAGATTTAGAGGACAATCTTTGTGCAGGATTGGCATTGCTTAGATACCGCAACAATTTTACTTTGATCTTTAATCGTGCATTTTTCTCTGTTTGAGCTTTTGTTTTTGGAGTGACTGTGTGTGCGTGCTGTGAAAATGTGACAATCTTGATTTAGGTCTTTTATTGAGATTCTACATAGAATTAAAAGGAACAACGTCTATCTGTGTGATTTTCATTTGTTTCCCCATTCCCTCTTTTAAAGCAATTTGCCACCAGATGATTTTAGGTTAAATTTATTAATAAAATATTTTAACAAAAAAGCTGATTTTCTTCCATAACATTGCAAAATATTGCACCTTGCCTACAGAGATCATGTTTACTTCTCTTTTTCACAATCCATTCAGAAGGTCCAAAAATCTCTTATGAATTTCTCTTTTTTTTAAGTCTGAATATAAATTATATAAGAAGATTGACTTTGTCTGAGGAGAGCGTGAACATTTTGGATCAATATTCCACTTAAAGACCAATAATATATATATTTTTTAACAGACCACCTGATTTTTATTTATAAATTTCCTAAGATTTCAAAGACTTTATGATATATTCTAATGTCCCCAATGTGTTTGGGGGAAAAAAAGACCAAAAGTATCACATATCCTTTAGAATAGAATATAAAAGAAATAATTCTTACTCATGGGCATCAGAGGCTTTTCCACCTAAAGCTCATTTAAAGTGATTGCTACTGAACAGCTAAGCCTCGGTCTGCTCTGATCGCTGCACGCAGCTTCAGGTAAAGTCTCAGTTTGGTTGGTATTTGTGATGGTAGGACAGAAAACCTTGTTAGATTCACCTATATATGCAACTATTAGCTGCAGTTCTTTAATTTGGAGCCCTGGAGACTTTTTCTTTTTTTTTTACTTCAGTGCAAAGTTATATTCCATAAAAACTTTGATCAAAAATGGTAAAATTATAAAAAGTAAAGTGTTATTTGAAATAATGACTAGATTAGGTGTATTCTCAAAGAATCATTGGGTTTCTTACAGCGGTGTCCCTTTAAATCAGAAAGAATACAAATAAAAACAAAAAATAGATATACTTTTACACCATGAGGGCTGATTAAGGTTCCAGCCGCTGGATGCCATTGAGAAGTCGTCGTCTGACACACAAGTGGTTGGTGTGGGTTTGGAGTGCTGCAGTGTGTACAGACACAACAGTGTGATAATAGTTCAGGTCTTACAGGCCCTATCTGTCTGAAACAGTAAACTGACCTCAAGGACAGAGCAGCTTCAACATGAGCTCTTATTGTCTCTGTCTTGTTGCCAATAATCTTAAAAGGAGATAAAAACCTGTATTACAAACTTAAATTGTTATTTCGTTTGTTAACTCGACTTGATTACACACATTATTTGTGTGTAAACACACCAGCACCGAATGTGTGTCTAATTAAGGAGATTTATGCCAATTCACTGAACATTTTCAATAGCAAGGACTTTTAATTATTTCCCCGCTGCACCATGAAAGAAATCCAGCTGCTTTGCTACGTGATCCCAATCGGGATGTGCTCAGGTTCCCACCACCCTCCCCCAAAATCTCACCTCACCCACATTCTGGGAACGCCATACAGACAAGGGCCGCATCCAGCTCAGCCCTAAACACCCCCCCACCCCAAAAAAAAAAAACACGGCCTCATCCCACTGCTCCATTGTGTGCGTGGGTAGTAGCTCAGCCAGGCTATTGTCTGGCCTGGCTCCTCAGCACGTACTTTATGCTCAAACCGACAACACAGCCAGCCAGCTCCAACATAAAGAAAACAATATCCTCCCAAGATCCTTCATAGTCATCCCAACATCCCCAACCAGCTTATGGCAGTGTAAATAAGGGCCCTCCAAAATGTTACTGTAAGCAGCGGCAGTAGGAGCAGGCCTTGGAGTGCTCACCAGCACCAAACATCTCACATCTGCTTTAAGAGATCCGGAGCTTAAACTCCCTGCCTGTGTGCATTTCTTATGAAGCAACACATTCACATGGAGAGCGGCGGCCCATGTGATAAGGCTTAGCTGCAGGGGTGACGAGCTGGGATATGTGCAGCCGAACTCCACAGAGTAATATAACATTCCTCTCCAAGGCTCAAATCCTGCTTCCTTTTGTGTGTTTTGTTGGTGTTTAGAGCTACTTGGGAGAAGTTGAGAGGAAAGTTGTAAGTGTCCACAACCTCAACAAGGCCAGCGGTGGGAGCCCTTGACCTCTGCAGGGACAGACTGCCAGGGACAGCTGGTGGGGCCAGTGTTTATTTATTTATTTCTTAACAAAAGACAGGTGGTCACACTTTAAAAAGGACACACAAACAAGCCTGCACACACACTTGTGTACAGACAGTGCACACATACACACATATGCATGGTTAATCCCCCCCCTTAGCTTACACATGCATATTGTTATCATCCACTTAATGTTATAAGAGGCCATTCTTTTGACTTTCAGAAAACATTATTTCAAAGGGCATATATCAGGATCTTTGCAACAGATGATAGTTTTATTCATTCCAGTTGAGAAATGCTAAAAAAAAAAAAAAGGGATTCTGTAGTCTGTGATAATGTTGTTTAGGTTACCAAAAAAATGCAGGATGCAATGCCCAAACAGGTTTAAAACTAAAAGGAGCAAATACTTGAAAATGCATTAATAAAGCTAAATTCATGTGGGTATTTATTTAGTGAGGAAGTCAAACCTAAACAGTAGACTGGATACTTTTAATAAACCAGCACTCTACAGAGGGATTGAAAGTCCTTTATTTGCAAAGTGACTGTAATTTACCACAGAGGCAAATACAAAACAAAAAAAAATATTGGGGTTCAAAGGCATTTGTATGCACCTTCCTCCCACAAACAAACAGTTTTTTTCTCCATAAAAAGTCTTTCCAAACTAATGTCACATGTGATGCATTAGAATGGAAGTTAAAAATATAAATAAAGGTGGCTGCTGCATTTAAGCATTTCCCCTTTTATGTGGCCTGGACACACACAACAAAAAATTGTTGTTAAAGCCAGTCTTCATGGCTTCACATGCAGGAGGATCATATGGAGGGAGTGGTTATTGATTTAACAAGATTTACAGAAATCAGTAGACAATTGTACCGTCAGCTTATAGACAAACAGTAGAAAAGCTAAATAGGAAAAGTTTTCTTAACCTGATTTTTATGCTGACGAGTACCATCCATGGTCAACTCAGTGGTCTGGCTGTTGACTCCCTGCCGTATATCTGGGGTTGATATAGCATTAAATATGTTTGCGCCCTCACCCATCAGATTTTGGGCTTTTATTCCACCCAATATCTAAGATCTTGATGATTATATAATTCTATATAAGTAGCGGTGTGTTCTCAGAAGGAGGCAAGAGATTCTTCCATTTCATTAAACGTTCTTTTATAAAATCTCTATAGCAAAGGTTCCCCACACATCTGTTTTCAGTTTCAATAAGAAGTACACATCCCTTTGAGATGGTGAGGTTAAGAATTTTTTTTTTACACCATGTAAAGTCTTACTGCATGTCATAAAGACTTTTGACAAGTGTGTCTTTGCTTTTATTTATTGTCAATCAGTGCAGATTATAATTTATGTTTCATGCTTATTTATAGTTACTGTTCTA